AAAAAAAAAAAAAAAGAAAGGAAAAGAAAATGGCTGAGTCAAATGACATAAACATGGTTTTCTTTTTATTTATTTATTTTGAGACAGTCTTGCTCTTTTCCCCCAGGCTGGAGTGTAGTGGCACCATCTCCTTGGTTTACGGCAACCTCCACCTCCCAGGTTCAAATGATTTCCAGCTAATTTTTGTATTTTTAGTAGAAACGCTGTTTCACCATGCTGGCCAGGCTGGTCTTGAACTCCTGACCTCAACTGATCCGCCTGCCTCGGCCTCCCAAAGTGCTGGGATTACAGGCGTGAGCCATCGCGTCTGGCCCATGAGCATGTTTTTCATTTCATTAGCTCCCGCAACGTGGTGGTACCATCCACCCTGTAGACCACCCGTTCTTACTTTTTTTCCCTTTACCAGGTGGGTTTTATTGACTACATCGTGCACCCATTGTGGGAGACCTGGGCGGATCTCGTCCACCCAGATGCCCAGGAGATCCTGGACACGTTGGAGGACAACCGGGACTGGTACTACAGCGCCATCCGGCAGAGCCCATCGCCGCCACCCGAGGAGGAGTCAAGGGGGCCTGGCTACCCACCCCCGCCTGACAAATTTCAGTTTGAGCTTACGCTGGAGGAGGAAGAAGAGGAAGAAACATCAGTGGCCCAGGAGGCATTGACCTCGCAGGGATTGTCCACAGCCGAGGGTGCTCTGGATGCAACCATGGCCTCATCCCCAGCCAAGGAGTCATTGGAAGTCATGGCACAGGACACGCCCCTGGAGGCAGAGCTGGAGGAAGTGGATTTGACGCAGCAGGCAGAGTCCACGGGCAGTGCACCTGTGGCTCGGGATGACTTCTCATCCCAGGAGGAATCCGTGGTTGCTGTAAGCCATGGCAGCCCCTCTGCCCTGTCTCTTCAGAGCCCCCTTCTCCCTGCCTGGAGGACCCTGTCTGTTTCAGAGGATGCCCCGGGCCCCTTGGGCCTCCCCTCCACGGCGGCCGAGGTGGAGGCCCAACGAGAGCACCAGGCTGCCAAGAGGGCTTGCAGTGCCTGCGCGGGGACATCTGGGGAGGAAACATCAGCACTCCCAGCTCCTGGTGGGTGGGGGTCACGTGGAGGAGACCCTACCTGATCCCCAGACCTCTATCCCTGTACCCCTCCCCTCCCTCAATCACCTCCTCCGCTGCCTCAAAGACTCTTAGCCCTCCTAAGAAAAAAGAAAACAGAAAAGTGGGTTTTTTTTTCTCTTTTCTTTTTTTCCCCTTTCCCCCCACCCCCACCCACGGGGCCTTTTTTTTTGGAGGTGGGGGCTGGGGAACGAGGGGCTGAGGTCCCGAAAGGGATTTTATTTTTTTGAATTTTAATTGTAACATTTTTAGAAAAAGAACAAAAAAAAAAAAAAAAGAAAGAAACACAGCAACTGTAGATGCTCCTGTTCCTGGTTCCCCCTTTCCACCTCCAAGACCCTCCCCTCCCCTCATTGCCTCCCAAGTTCCAGGCTTAGTCTTCCAGCCGCCTGGGCATCTCTACCTGGGCCCGGGCAGGCATGGGGTCTTCTTCTGGGCTTTTCTTCTGAATTTTAGAGGGTTTCTAGAACCCGGTCAGGAATAGCCATTCTAGGTGGGGCTGGGGCTGGGTGAGGGGCAGTCACTGTGGGAGGTCCCAGCTCCAGCCCCCCTCTGGTTTGCTGCCTCTTTTCCCCCCTAAAAAAAAGTCTTCCGCCTGATTTTGCACAATCCTGGCAATCTGGCTAGGGAGTCAGGGAGCCCGGGAGTTGTTCACTTAGGATTCAGGGGGTGATGTGGAAGGGGGCGTGCACACCGCCAGCCTCAGGCATGGGATTTGAGGAGGGTCCTAGACCTCCTCCACTCTCCATCCCCTCTCCCTTCCACTTTGGGTTCACTTTGAATTTTCTCCGTTTTGGGGGGTGGTGGCTTTGATTCACACACAGCTCCCCCCACTACTCCACTTCTAGCTGCTTCTCCTCTTGTTTCTGCCTTAATGATTCCCACAGCCACAGGAGAAAGGGTTGCAGTGGCTTCCGCCTGCACCTTGAGTGAGGCAGGGCCAGGCGCCCAGAACCCCCATCCTGCCCGTACCCACCTTTCCAGTGTCCTCCAGATCCCACCTTCCACACTCTGACCACAGCCCCCATCCTTTTGCCCTAGGAGGAAGCAATAATGGCGTATACCCTCATTCTCAGTCCTGGGCAACCCTTCCTTCCACCCCAGCACCAAAATAATTTCTCCTCCTTCCCTACCTTGCCAGGCCTCTCCCTCTCCCCCAGCTAGTCCCTGAGCAATATGGCAGACAGATACAAGGCCATTTTTCTCCAAGCCATGGGAGACTGTTTGAAAGGAAAGACCCCCTCTCTCCCTCCTCCCTCGCCCCTCAGCCTGGTTCTGCAACTGGGCTGATCTCTTTCATCACCTGCCCCCCACCCAGTTCTGAGCACACAGTACTGTAGCCCCCAGTTCCTCCCTAGCCTTCCATCTGTCTGTCCACCCCAGGGGGAAGTAACCCCCCACACGCACTCCCTTGATGCCGTCTGTACAGGGTTCATATTTTGTAGCGAAAGTTGTTTCTGTCCCAGCCGGGGATCAGAGTGGGCATTTTCTTTCTTTTCTTTTTGTTCATTCTTTTTCTTTCTTTCTTTTTTTTGTACATACTGTAAGGTTGGTTTGTAAATTATTCTACAGAGGCAAAAAGGGAAAATAAAAACTTGTCCTTCCCTGGCTGATCTAGTCAGGAAGGTAGGGAAGGGGGCCTCCTGTTGGGAGAGTCTCCGTTCCTGCTGTATTATACAAACTGTACCATAGTCCCGGGAAAAGGGTGGACTCACCACTGTCGTTTTACGGGAAGTCGTGTCATCCTAGGGGTGGGGGCTGGGTAGAGCCTGTCCCCTCCCCCTACCCCAGGAGCCAGGGGGTGACTGGCGAGACAGACCCCACCCCCAAGCAGGGCTCCTCTCCCCAGGGTGGGCACAGGACCTCTGTAAGCTGCTTGTGTCTTGTCCACTTTGACGATCAGTCATTTGGTCCATTGATCAATAATCAATCTTCGATCTTGTCTCCAATTAAAACGAGGCTTTCACCGATTTTCCTGGCTGATGTGGCTTCATTCCCCATGTTGTCAGTTGAGGTGTCTTCCCCACCCTGCACCATCTGCCTGTATTGAGGAGGGAGTTTCTGTCCCTACTCCTTCTCCAGCAGATGGAATTGTGAAGTAGAGCTCAGCCAAAGACAGTCCCCAAGTCTGAGTCGGGTTAAATTCAAACCATGCAGGTATATATATATATTTTTTGAGATGGAGTCCCACTCTGTTGCTCAGGCTGGAGTGCAGTGGCCCGATCTTGGCTCACTGCAACCTCTGCCTCCCGGGTTCAAGCGATTCTCTTGCCTCAGCCTCCCAAGCAGCTGAGACTATAGGCACCTGCCACCACAGCCAGCTAGTTTTTTGTATTTTTAGTAGAGATGGGGTTTCGCCGAGAGCGGTGTCGCGTGCCTGTAGTCCCAGCTACTCTGGAGGCTGAGGTGGGAGGATCGCTTGAGCCCAGGATTTCTGGGCTGTAGTGCACTATCCCGATCGGGTGTCCTAAGTTCAGCATCAATATGGTGACCTCCCGGAAATGGGGGACCACCAGGTTGCCTAAGTGGGGGTGAACCGGCCCAGGTCGGAAACGGAGCAGGTCAAAACTCCCATGCTGATCAGTAGTGGGATTGTGCCTGTGAATAGCCACTGCACTCCAGCCTGGGCAACATAAGGAAACTTCGTCTATACAAAAAATTTAAAAACAT